TTCAATTTAAGGGACCATTTGTGATAAAAATCCTTCTTTATAAAATTTCTAAAATTTCCTAATTTTCCTTCTAAAATTTTTGTGAGACTATAAAACTTGAGTGCATGAGAATATATAATAGAATTTTACGGCTTAATTTTCATTGTATTGCATAACTGAAATATATATACAAGATACAATCCTTGTTCTATAAGGAAACAATAAACAATAAAGGATACACACATATATCCTTCCTAATAAAGGATTCCTAATATTTACAACACATTTACATACCCTTTAATTACTACTCACGACAACACTCCCCCTCAAGTTGGAGCATAGATATCACACATGCCCAACTTGACAAATGAGTCACCAAAAGATCTACTACACACGACATGAGTGAGGATATCTGCAAGCTGCTCTTCCGAGTTCACAAACGGTATTGACACAATCTTTTTCTCAAGCTTTTCCTTAATAAAATGACGATCAACCTCCACATGCTTTGTTTTGTCATGTTGTACCAAGTTCTTTGCAATCTCCTGTGCGGATTTATTACCACAATACAAGCTTATGGCCTCTTTTGCTTTGAAACCTAGACCCCAAAGTAACTTACGTAACCAAAGAACTTCACATACTATATGTGCCATACCTCTGAATTCAACCTCAGCTGAAGACCTTGACACCACATTTTTCTTCTTGCTTCTCCAAGTAACTAGATTTCCGCCAACAAACGTAAAGTATCCAGAAGTAGAGTGCCTATTAGTCACATCACCTACCTAATCAGCATTGGTAAATCCCTCAATCCTCAGATGATCGGAATTTTTATACAAAATTCCTTTTCCCGAAGCCAACTTCAGATAAGCTAAAATTCGCATAACAGCTACCATACGATCCACACTCGGTGAGTGCATAAACTGACTCGCTACACTTAACTGCATAGGTTATATCCGGATAGGTATGAGCTAAATAATTAGTCTTCTTACCAGCCTCTGATATCTGCTTTTATCTATCGGTTCTTGATCTGGATAAATTCCCAAGTAATGTTTCACCACAATGGGAGTATCCACTGGTTTACACCCAAGCATACCTATTTCCTTCAATACATCCAGAACATATTTTCGTTGAGACAAGAAAATACCTTTGGATAAACGAGCAACTTCAACTCCAAGAAAAAACTTTAAGTCACCTAAACTCTTCATCTCAAACTCGACAGAAAGATTCTTCTCTAGTTTGACAATCTCATCTGAATCATCACCTGTTATTATCATATCATCTACATAAATAATCAAGGTTGTCACTTTACCATTTCTCCACTTCACAAATAAAGTATGATCATAATGAATTTGATAATACCCATTCTTTCTCATGACCTGAGTGAACCTCCCAAACCATGCACGAGGTGATTACTTTAGCCCATAAAGTGACTTTCGTAATCGGCACACTCCTGATTTTTCTCCGTTACTATACCGTGGAGGGAAATCCATATGCACATTTTCCTCTAGATGTCCATGAAGAAACACATTTTTTACATCAAATTGTTTCAGTGGCCAATTCCAATTTGCAGCTAATGAGATAAGGACTCGTACCGTATTATCTTAGCCACGGAAGAGAAAGTTTCCTGATAATCAACTCTGTATGTTTGAGTATACCCTTTCGCCACCAACCTTGCTTTATACCTGTCGAGTGATCCGTTAGCCTTGTATTTAACTGTAAAAATCCATTGGCACCCAACTGGCTTTTTTCCTTTTGGCAGCTCAACTACTTCCCATGTATTATTTTTCTGCAATACCCTTATCTCTTCATCCATTGCTTCGGTCCATTCTCGATTCTTCAAAGCGTCTTCTACTCGAGTTGGTACTTGAATTGAATCCACATTATTCACCCAAGCTTGACATTCGGATGAAAGGTTTTTACAGGACAGGTAATTGGCTATAGGATACTTCACTTTTTCCTCTAGAGAGAACCTGTCAAGAGGTACACCATAATTTTTCCTTGGTGGCAATTTATATGTACTTATAACATCATTAGTTACATGAGTATGACTAGTGCTTACCTAAGGGATATCCAGAGAAGATGTATTGGACATCAGCATTGTTGAACTAGAGAGAGGGAGGAAGCTGCGACCATTGTGGGCTGATCATCAGTGCACTCCCCTTCGGTAGCACCAACACACGGACTGATAGTCTCTTCCTCGGCAAGAAGTTGCGGAATACTTGGAGCAGGTTCTGTGAGAACCTGCTGTCTACTCACAACAGGCTTGGCAGGAGGAGACCGAGTATCATCACCTGCATCACTCAGCACACCGTGCACTCCCCTTGAAGACCTTGCCTCTTGTACATCCAACCATTTGAAAACACCATCAAGATCACAACTAGAACTCCCCCCCCTTTGTGATCGAAGAGTGGTGATATGGGAGTATAAAAATATTTAGACTCAGAAAAGGTCACATCCATGGTGATATACATGTGACGAGTGGCAGGGTGGTAACACTTGTAACCTTTCTAGTGGGATGCAAAACCCACAAAGACACACCGAAGAGCATAATGATCCAATTTACTGTGATGAATCTTATGAATATGAACATAAGCAACACATCAAAACACTCGAGGAGTGAGAGTATTGGTAGAAACAACCGGAACATGTTCCGTCAACACTTTGAGTGGAGTACGAAATTCTACAACTCGGGATGGCATGCGATTTATAACATACACGGCATAGGTGATGGCGTCTGGCCAAAAACTCTTAGGCACTGACCCATCAATAAGCAATGCACGAGCAGTTTCCAAAATATGACGGTTTTTTCTCTCAGCTACCCCATTTTGTTGTGGGGTATGCGAACACGTTGTCTCATGAAGAATTCCTTGATCACGGAAAAAAATAGATAGCTCAGAGTCAACATATTCTCCCCCATTATCAGTACGAAGAACCTTAATAACGAAGGAGTATTGTGTAGCCATGATCTAAGAGAAAGACGAAATAATCATACTAACATCACTTTTATGTTTCAATAGATAAACCCATGTCATACAAGTGCAATCATCAACAAACGTAATAAACCATTTAATTCCCGAAGTAGTATTAATAAAGGAAGACCCTCACACATCAGAGTGTACTAGCGCAAATGGAGAAGATGTTCTATTCATACTTGGAGGGAATGAAGCACGATGACTTTTGGCTAAAATACATACTTCACATTTCAATTCTGAGTCTTCAACACCACTGAACAAATCAGGTAATATATGTTTCAAATAACCAAACGATGCATGCCCCAAATGACGATACAATAACAATACCTTCCGTAGATTACTATTACGTGACGCATGAACCAAATTAGCTCTTCCAGGAATTACGTCATCCACATAATATAGCCTCTCTCTCTTAGTGCCACGCCCAATGATCTCCTTTGTTTGAATATCCTGAAGCAAGCAAAATGAAGGATACATTAATACAACACAATCCAATTATTCAATGACTTGAGGTACATACAATAAGTGATAGGACAATGACGGAACCAATAAACAATTATGGAAGGGAAGAGATGGTGTAAGAGACACTGTTCCCTCTCCAACAACAGCAGCAGTAGAACCATTGGCAGTTACCACACACTTTCTATGAGGACGTGTCATAGATTGAAATAAGATTTTATCATATGTCATATGATCTGTTGCATCGGAATCCAAAATCCAACCTGCATTCGTCATTGTAATAACTCACAAGACAGTAATACACGACAATCACAACACCACACCAATTACAGAACCACACGTTGCAAGGAACACAAGCAACAGCCAATCACGGCAATTACAAAAAAAATTACAGACTGCAGCACCAGAAGAGCACGGCAAAGAAAAACACTCTCACGAAATTCACACAGTACAAAATAAGGTGGCAGCACAACACAACTTTCCACGCAACAACTCTAATTAGAGAACACATCCAATATCGTAGTAGCCTCAAGTATTTGTATGGTAGCAGACAAGCAGCAGATAACTACACACTGCAAGTCAATACACGGTACACTTGCAGAAGCACAACACCACACACAGCAGCAGCAAGATCACACTGTTGCAAATCCACTATACACGATCTGATCAATTTCTGCAACAAGCAACGTAAGAACAAGTCGACCGAACACAGCAGTGGAAGAAAATATTGTTTTACAGTTTCCAGGGTTACGGCAAACTAGGCTCTAATGCCAAATAGAATTTTACGGCTTAATTTTCATTATATTGCATAAATGAAATATATATACAAGATACAATCCTTGTTCTATAAGGAAACAATAAACAATAAAGGACACACACATATATCCTTCCTAATAAAGAATTCCTAATATTTACAACATATTTACATACCCTTTAATTACTACTCACGGGAACATATATCACATCTTATCTTTTTTTTTACGAGTCAAAACTTCTTAAAACTTTTTGAAACTACAAGATATAATATGAACTATTGCAACTTTCGAAACGCTAGAGCCTATTAAATCCGATCTTTTCTCATAACTCTTAAATCACTAATTGATGCTTCGTGAAGGTTCACGTAATTTCGCCAATTTAGTTCAAAAAATTTCAAAAATCTTTTGTTTATCTCTTCTAAATTAAGGAGTATTGCAAAAGGAGAAGTAATTGCCAAGTACTCATATGTCTTTACAATGTAACAGTGTGTCACATATTACATCCAAATTAACCATATACTCATACGTGTTGTGCATTACAAACCCATTTAATGCATACCATGTTAAAAAAATAAAAAATAAAGTTCCCATTTTGTCCTAATTTTCTAATAAAATGATGCATGCACATACATTTATGAACAAATATACACAATAATATAAAGTATTTAAATGAATAAACAAAAGAAAAAGTATAAAAACAGCTTGGAAAAGTGCAGGTGAATTGGGTCGCCTCCCCCTTTTCTCCCCTATTTGGCCAAGGCTTGGAGCTCACAGATTGTGGCTGTGGCTATCTGGCTGAGCAAACACTGTCAAGCCTCTGCTTTCAGATCCTCCGTCCTCTACCTCTTCCTCTGCTTCTCACCCCCTTTAATAAAAGCTTTTCTCTTTTGGGTTTCATATCTCTCTCTCTCTCTCTCTCTCTCTCTCTCTCTCTGTGCTTTGGTTACCATCTCCTCCCCTGGATCTTCACCTGTGGAGGTAACTTTGGCTTCAATTCTCTCTTTCGCCCTATTTTTTGTTAGTTAATTTTTGAAATGATATACTTGGTTGCAATTATCTGTGTACAAATATATTGGAATTTTATGTGCCTGCATTAACAAAAATTGAAAAGTAGGTTTCTTTAGCAATAAGAATAATACCCAGGAGAGTTTTTATTTTTTATTTTTTTATTTTTTATTTTTTTTTAATTTTTTTGCCCACAGTTATAATCTGGGAAAAGAATGTGATCTTTTTTAGTTTAAATTTGGAACTTTTATATACATATTGGATTACCATGGCTTCGAATTTCTCATTTTTTTTATGTAACATATGGAAATATGGACGTTGATGCTTTTTGTTGGTGTCTTGGGTGTTTAGGTGATTTTCGATGAGCCATTGAGATAAACTTGGTATTTTCGAACTTGGGTAGTTTATAAGTGCATTAGTGCGTTTATCATGTCTGATCGGGTTGCGCGATCGTATCATGGTAGTGAAGGAACAAGTGAGCTAGCTTCACATCCTTACGAATCTGTTTGGATGGCTCATTGGATGTGCAGAAGTTGTAAGTCAGAAACCAAAGCTTGTGGCCATGTATCAATTCGTTATGAGGAGGCGCAACAACACAATCGTGGTGTTAAGAAGCATTCCTTGTTTAGAGGGTTCGGAGAAGTAACTGAACCAAAGAGAGTAAGAAAGATCGATGGGGGTCTCAGTCTGGCAGAGAGTTCAAAGAAAACAAGGAAAGCGATATCAGAAGGCCAGTCCTTTCCAATGTTCAGTGTTCCTCCAAAGGCTAGTGTGGCTAAACCAAATCAGAAAAATTCTACTTTCCATGGGGGAGTACTTACTGAGTGTAGCCCACCAGCATTGCCTGCCTGGACTCATACTGATGCATGGGCTTTGGGAGCCACATCACCGCCTCCAGAGCAACAGGTGAAATATCATAATTTTCTTGATAACAATAGCCTAGCTGTTTCCAAGTCTTTTCAGGATGAATCAACGAGATCAGATTCCAAAATTGTGCCACATCAACTAAAGGGTGGGCGTACTTTCTCATCTTTCCTGTGTAGTGAAAAGGAAATTAATCTATCCAACTCTCTTTTTGCATCTCCACAACATGTCACAAACAGTTACAATCACACGTTGTTGGCTCACGAGAAAAACTTCGATAACAATTTTGTCTCTAGAAGATCAGGAGGTCCATTACCAAGGCAGAATGATATGGTTTTTTTACAGCACAACCCCTCCACAAGCAGTAAGCAGCAACCGAATTTTTTCGGTAGGAATTTCCTGGAAATGCAAAATCAGTCTGGTATTGGATTGCTTTCAAGCCACACCAGTCCCCAAGAGGTGACCGAACTGGAAAAGGTATTTCACCGATCTCTGCCAAGCCTGCAGTGTTCTGTGCATAACACAGAGACTATGAGAATATGTGCTACTGTCAACGCTGAGGAAGAATCATCTAGAGGTCCTCCCGTGGTTTCAAAGACAACTCACCATTTTCAGATCACAAAAAAGACTGGTGTTAACTTGCCTGAACGAGGTCAAGTGTTCGGACAGTCAACTGCATCAACAAAATTGAAAGGAAAAGCTTTCGGTGATCTTTTTGGTTTTTCCACGGACTATGGTCTCCCTGCTCAGCCTAGATTAAAGCTACTACCTTACAGGAGCCCTACAGAGAGTAACGGAGAGGAAGATGTAAGAGATGTCGAGGCTTATGCACTCGAATCATCATCTGAAACAGATATTTTGGACATGGATGCTTTCCAGGATAACCTTCTTCCTGGTAGTTACATTTATATTTCAGGAATCTCAGCTTGGTTGAACATTATTTATACCATGTTAAATGTATAGGCTATTTAACTTTTGCAGCATCATGTTTGGATTAACATATGTTTTAGCAAGTAATTATTATTAAGTTCATACAGTATAAACATATAATAAGTTTTTCAGTGTTCTGTTTCATCATGCCTTTTGGCTAATAATGGGTTTTGCTTGTTGAATCAGGTGTAGCGTCATCCACATCAGATAAGGTAACTTTTACAAATTCCGTTTTTGTGAATAATTAGTTAAGATCCATAGTTTGGAATTACTGTTTGTTCACACCCGAAACACCTTATATGCTGCATTCCAAGGAAATTGGCTTTTAAAGGATCATGCTATGTTGGATTGAATTTAATAATGTGTTAAGCATAGCACTAAATAGGAAGCTATTCCAATTTTCGAATTTTGCAGCATGTTGAGAGTACCAAGAAGTCACCAAAATCTCGATCAGCCTTCACTTCAGGTGGAGAAGAGAATGGAGCTAGACTTCTGTACACAAAATTACCTGATATAAATCAAGAGCTTCCTGATTCAGCAGAAGAAAGGGAGACGAGCACTTCCAGAACCCAAAGTTTGGGTGCGGAACATCTCCTTTCTCATGCTGAGCAGCCGACAAATTCGAACTGCAATGCGTGTCAAGAAGGATCTCATGGACTAGAAACAAGAAGCAGTTGGATTAAACGGCTCAAGTTGTCTGCAACTCAGCCAGCTTATGGTGCAAAAAGCTCAAACAGTAGATTTCTTGGTAAAGAACAGATGGTGCCAGATCAAGCTGCAATGCTATTAAGGGATTGGGAGTCGTCTCCCATTGACTCAGCCAGGAAAGGTCGAAATATAATGCTTTCTCATCCTTGGATTCAGAGGTGGTCTAAAGTACCATCCCAAAAGAAGTCTGAAAAAGTTGTTTTTCAATCACAATGTTCGAAGCCAACCGTAGATGAGTTTCAGAAGAAGCAATTTCCAAGCATTGCTGCTATGGCACTCATGGGAAAGGCCATGAGTGGTTTCCATCCATGTGAGTTTACGAACAAAGGGTCTTTTGTAGTTTGGAGTACCAAGGATATTAAATAGGTAAGTTATGCAACTCCGGAAAGAAGAGTACCATTTATGCGGATTACACTGGTGGTCATCTGTACATGATATGGTCCAGAGATCCTGTTTAAGCTGATGGTGATACGGAGGTTTTGATAGAGACGAGTTCAGGACGTACAATGCAGAGAATCACTTGCATCTTCAGCTTCTCTTGAACTGTGATACTCGTCTTAATACACCGCTACATCCAGAGACTGACATGGAGAAACTAGCAGCGATCCTCGGCTACCAAGTTTTAGTAAAGAAAATGTGAGCAACTTTTACAATTCCTGCGCTTTCTGATTGTATATTCTAATATGTTGTGCTTGTTAATTCTTGGTTTAAGGTTGTGAGACATATGCCATCAGTTTTCCTCCATTTTCTTTGGTTGATAGGTTGTTTATTTAAGAGAGCAATGAATTTCCAGTTTTATTAGGCAAATTTTGCTGATCCTTTTATACCTCTAAAATATTTGGCATGCAATGAATATTTTGTCCACTTTTTTAAAACTAAAAATTTATACCAAGTAAGTTTTTATTTTTTAAAAAATGAAAATTGAAAACTGAAAATGATAACGTTCCGAAGTAGAGATTATTTGTTCAAATATCCGTCTAATTCAAAGAAAAAAAATCCTATTTAACTGGTAAACGAAATATAAATGGAGAATGGAAGGTCTAGGGTTTCTGCATGCAAGCCGCTGCCGGCGTCCTAGCGCTGGTCTCTTGTGCGTGTCCTCTAGGTTTTTCAATTGGGTTAGAGATAATTGCATTAGGGGTAAGCAGATCTCTGTTGATTACATACTAGGTGAGTGCTTGGTTACCCTAATTAGGTTTTCGATAATTGGAAATAGGTTAATCATGAGTTCGAATAGGTTGGGGTGGAGTGCTAATTGGTTTCTAGATAAGTGGGTGGTGAGCTCCGAGGAGTTGTTTGAACTGATGTATCCTCATTTCCCAAGTGTTGTAGCTTTTTAGTGGTGTCCGAATTGGTGTGAGAAATTAGGGTTCTTTACTTTGTTATTTTCTTTTTGCATTGTTTTCTGGTTGGCAATTGGTCTCTTTGCCTTACTGTTATTATGGGTTCTGGCTTGTGGGCTTGTGCCGTTGGGTGACGTTCTAATTTCTGTGTTTGTGGAAACTTGTTTCTTCGAATTTGGGGTTGTTTTTTGCTGCTCTAATTATGATTGGAGTTACTTGGGGTGTTGGACTTGGTTAACTTTCTTTCGGGGTTGCTGTCCCTGGGGATGTTTGATCTTCCCAAGTTCCTTTTTGCTTATTCTTTTTGTCTTTAGGCTGGCGTTTTTGGAGTTTTTGGTTTTATGACCTATGGTGTAGGTTTTTTTGAGTTTCATTTTCTTGCTGTTCTTTATTATGTTAGTGTGCTTTGATGGCTAGTTTCCCTTAAGCATTTCTATATATTCTGGTTTTGGTAGTGTCTCCTCATCCTATCAAAATTCTTATTTTCTTCTCTTTTGTTTCCCAGAGTTCTCAAAATGACTAACCCTCAGCTTGCTGCTTCCTCCTCTAGTAATGCCCGTAGGCATAGAATTTGTTTTGAGGGTTATATCTCGAGCTGGGAGAATCCTTTCCTTGTTCCACAACCTGGTCATGACCTAGTTGTTGTTGAAAAGGCTATGAGCACGTTCATTGTGGAACGTGGAGTGACCAGGTTGAATACCCATTTATTCTTTTCTATTAATGTTGAGCACATGTTATCTAGGGTTCTTATGGGGAAGATGTTCGGCCAACCTCTTGATGCTCGTTTGATTAAGTGGAAGCTAGGGCTTCTGTGGAAGAATGAGGTGAATAACACCTTTTATTTGGAGCACTTCGGAAGGAAATGGTTTGCACTCGAATCAATTACAAATCAATTACAAATCTAAACTGCCTATTAATAGAACTCTGATTTTCAACCAAAACTATATGAAATTACTATTTTAACATCCTCATCAAAAATTGAACAAAAATAAAAAAAAGGGCAATTTAGTAATTACAGAAACATAAATTTTGTTGTGTTTTTACAGTAACCTCATAGCCAGGTTAGTATAGCAAGCCCTAATTTTTTTTAAAACAAATTATTCATCATTATCCTAATTTTCATAACTGATTTTTATTTTATTTTTTAATTCTAAAACCTAATCACCTCATAATAAAAAATAAAAAATAAACAAAATGAAATGGTTCACACAGTGTATGTGGATATCTACTCATTCATATTAATCAAAGGGAAAACCAATTAATTAAGAGCATTTCTCAATCTATTCATGCATATTGACTCCTAACTGGTATATTTGACTCCTAACTGGTTAGACACGTGCCACATTTTAATTGGGTTACTACTTGACACTGCCATATGGCAAGAACATTCTTGAAGATCTTGGAAATATATTTGCTCACCATTCCGAGGTAGTGGTAATACTCACCACCCTTTTGGTTGTTCGTTGGATGAGTTTAAATTGATCTATCTACTATACAAATTTTAAAATTTAAATTCATTGAATGATAATTAACAGAATAATAAGCATCACAAACATTTTAAGATAATGAGCAAAAACGCACTCGAAGATCTTTTATCAAACTAGAGCTTCTCGACTCCTAGCTTGTACCAAGTAGTAACAGTAAGTCTACCAATTCTTTTATTTTACACATATTCATACACACACTTCTTTAAATAAACTACAAGTAATATGAAGAACTCTTTTCTAAATTCTGTTTAAAATATTGAGAATCCAATAAGGTTATAGTTTAGTGGGTATAGCAAAGGTCATTAGAAGTACACTGTGTACCAACATCTAGTGCTTTGTATAGTTGGATGATGTCCCTCTTACTTTGGTCTTGTGTTGTTGGGGTAAAGAATAAAACTGTAAGGATGCTCATCCATATGAATCTGTCCACCCAAGTCTATGGATTATGGAATGGCTGAAAAACTGGCTGTCAAAACTGCGTTGGGGGAAGACCCGTTTGGTGGGCAGGATGAGATGAGTTATTTCTAATTAAATTTGACTTGTAGCCCAGCTAATGTTTGGTAAGAAAAATTGTAACAAGGACTGGATTGGCTACAAATCTGAAATAAGGGAAAATATGATGGGTTATGTAACCCAATCACACACATGAGTTATGTAACACATCTCTGTCAATCTAATCATATTCCTAAGGCCCAATCCAATCCAGTTCACCAAACAAGCTACAATTTGCTATATTTGTTTCAGTTTCATAGGACCACACTCATCAGACTTTATGATCCTAACTTATCCCATTATGGTAATTAACAAGAAAATTTGGAATTTATGCATTATAATGTGTTAGAACAGAACTTCGAATACATTCTTTGCCATTATGCCCATTTATTTGAGCCTTACCAAACATCTATGGAAAATTCTCTAATTATCAATTTCCTTTTGCCCTATTGGTATATGCTTGGAAAGTCTTATCACGTGGATAACTTTGGAAAACATTGTAGGCCTAGGGTTCGTAAAGCAATGAAGCGAGAGTTGAACTCTAGTCATGAGTGTGAGACTAAATGATCATGTTACCTTGTTTAATGTCGTTTATGACGCACATATTAGATCAGATTGGATAATTCACTAAATTTAAATTAGGTTGATGTAAGGCATGAAACTTGATTTCCAACTTCTAAATTTTGTCCAAATTAATGAGTTAAATAGATTTAATTATAACTTAAAAGGGCTTGATATCGTACCATTTTATTAGGATTGGAAATGATAAGTTTTCTTCATGACTAATTCATCTTCTACCTTCAAATTGAGCAAACTTTAGAAATTGGCTTTCACTTCATCCTTTAACATACATGAATCTATTGAGTTATCCTCCATGAAACGTCACGAGGGAAAGGAGAATAATCATAGTGAAATATGAACAAAGTATAGTAAATTTACACTGCACTCTTGATATAGCTATGTACAAATACATATAGAAATACAAACCCCCACCACCCAACACCTCCCCCCCCCCCCCCCCCCCCCAACAATCAAAAATCCCCAAAAAAAGAAGAAAAAAAGGAACACAAACAGAGACTTCCCCATATTTCACCCTAGTTTACAGAGAACTCTTCTTGCAGTCGAAACTTCTGTTGCCTTGCAATGAAGGACTCAACCTTGCTTCGAAACTCCTCGTTACTCATACCGTCTTCAGGGTACACGCTCCCTGCCAATTTCCCACCAGACTGAACATTTTCCTTTAATTTCTCCGTCTCTGATCGTTTCAGTAAGCGCCGTGAGCTCTTGCAAATCGTGCGTTCTACAATCTCTGACCGACTCCTTGTGAACTTCTTGGCTTCCGAAGAATGAGGAGCTTGCTCAGAAACTATACTATCTTCGGGCCTTTTTTTTATGGCCGGGTACTCAATCCCATCACCACGAAGTTTTTGATTCTTTTCGCTGTTCTGAACAAACTCTTCGTAAAGATCACCACCCGAGCTGTCTATGCTCGAGTCTTTAGCTGAAAATCTGCCCGACTTGGCGTAGAGAATGATAACTATTACATTTCCAACGACAAACACGAAGCGAGGACTTACCATGAAGCCCGATATGTCTTTGAAGTAAGAGGCAGAGTTCTTGACAGCATGAGGGAGTTGGACAGAAAACCTGGAAAGCAAGAGCAGAACAGCAAGCACCTCTATCAACCGAAAGAGTTTTGCGATTTTTCGACGCTGGCGGTATTTCATTATTGCGTTTGCCTTCTCAGCTTTGATGTCATAAAAATTGATTGAATCCATTTTTTGACAACGGGCTGAGTGAGCGAAATCAATGAAAATCCTGAAAAGGGTCTCGAAGATTTTGCGTTTCTCACTCGAAAAGGATTCGGGCTTTGATCGAGGATTCGTAACCTACCATGTCTCTGATGAGAGCCAGTAGGGGTACTACTATCAGAGTAGTAGATTTTGTGAGGATTTTGACTATTGGAAGCATGAAGAGAGAGAGAGAGAGAGAGAGAGAGAGGAAATGAAGTGAAATAAATTGGATTATGAGATGTTGTGTTATTGTGTGTGTTGTTGTTGAACCCTTTACATGGTGCAGGCTTGGTATTTATAGGCCATGAGAATATATAACTTTTTCTTTTTGAAATTTTAGGAGAATAGCTTTTCTTTCTTTTTTAATATTCCATTCATTTGCTTTATATAAAATTTGCAAATTGAGGGTTTATCCAAGGCTCCATTATACTAAGGCTATCCTGTTGCATGATTATTTTTCTAGAATATGGTACTACAGTTGACTAGGATTAGGATATTAACGAGCATGTGTGGAAGTTTTAGCTTTAAGTTTCAATGTATTTTTCATATTTTTGATTGAATGTACAAGGGGGGATATATAATGAGGTAGAAGGTTACAAGCAATCCTACCTTGGCAAATCCTACTAACCTGGTAAACCCTAAAGCTGTCACTCCTTAAATTAAGGGAGTGCAGCAAGTAGCTAGCACACAAC